ATTGAAGGTGCTAATTCCAACGTCTTCTCCATGTTTGAGCAGGCCCAGATCCAGGAATTCAAAGAGGTAGGTGTGTTTGGATGACCGAGCGTCCATGATGTGATGTGACCTTCAGCTCTTCATGATGTTCCCCTGCATGGCTGGCACATGGTGCTGTACAGCGTTAGGGTTTGCCATAGGAAGCCATCACCCCACAACACCCAAGGGTGCAGGGGTTTAGGATTGCTGCTGGATTTGGGTGATGGTTGTTGCTCCATCTTGTGAGGGCTCAAGGTGCCCTTGTCCCATCCAAGTGGAAGGGAGGAGGAGGAGGATGCTAAAGCCTCTACCTGTGCTCCCTGTCCTCCTCTTGTGCTTCCAGGCATTCACCATCATGGATCAGAACCGGGATGGCTTCATCGACAAGGCAGATCTGAGAGACACCTTTGCTGCACTCGGTGAGCCCCCCTTTAGGATCCTCCCTAACAGCTTAGACAGTATCAGACCTATGATGTGAGAAACCAGCTGTGAGCCCCCATTTAAGCAAGCCCCAGCAGTAACTGGACCTGCTGCTTCACTGAAAACCTCCTGATCCAAACCCACTTCTGTTAGCTCTGTGTGGGAGCAGATCCCACAGCAGCAGGCGTTTTATCCCAGAGATCCAGCTGCTGGATTGTACATGGCCAAATTCTCCCTGCTTTCTCCTAGTTAAGAAGGACCTGGTTAGGCTCATCCCACAGCAGCCCTGGGTGTACGGGCATTAGGGGCATTTATGGGCTTTGTGGGAAGCTGTGAAGTTGTGAGCTTGACTCTGATCACAGAGGCCAGCATGAACCAGTGATGGGGATGGGGAGTCCCAAAGACACCCAACCTCATGTAAAAGGATGTAGGCATTCAGTCCTGTTCACTTCTGACACAGGGAGGAGCAGCACTGTTGGTTTCAACCCAAAACATCTTCCAAGGAGGGCTGAAGCAGGCTGCTCCATAGGGCAGTGAGGGAAGGAAGCAGCACAGCTCAGCCCTTTGAAGCCCTCTTGTATGATCCTGAGGCTGGCGAAACCAGAGATGGAAATGATGAAAATCAGCACAAGATTCTCCCATCCTCACTTCTTCATTGCCCTTCCTTGTCAGAGGTGGTTCCCCAGGGCTGTGCTGCTTCAGATGGGGGAAAATCCTCTGGGAAAGGCTCCCATGGTGTGTCTTTTAGCCTGCAGCAATAGAGCAGAGCACATCTATTGCTGGACATGGACACCCATTGCTGCTCTCCCCTAGGGCGCCTCAACGTGAAGAACGAGGAGATTGATGAGATGATAAAGGAGGCGCCCGGCCCCATCAACTTCACCGTGTTCCTCACCATGTTTGGGGAGAAACTCAAGGGGGAGAGGGCAGCTGAGGGGTCAGCAGGCACTGATACCATCACCAATATCCTGTCCCCCCTGGGGGAGCCACACAGCTTCCAGGGAGATCCCTCAAATGGTCCTTGGAGGCTTCAGGTGGGAGCTGCTAAAGGAAAGCAAGTGGCACTGGCTGCTGTACTGTGGCATGCAGAACACGGGAAGTGGGATGCTCCCATATCATGGCCAAGAGGTCAAACCTGGGGACAACCATGGGATACTTGTGAAATGATCTCCCTCTCCCATTCCTCCCACACCCCTTAGTGCCACCTTCTCCCTATGGCAGCACAGGGACCCCCCAAAGATAGAGGCTATGGTGGGGTCTTCACCAGCCACAACCTCTCTTCGCAAGAATTCCAGTTCTCATCCTCCAAGTCGCGGACCTGGGTGCTCTCCCTGTCCTCAGACAGCACAGATAGGACCAAGAGCATCATGTACCCAGAGCAAGTGTCCCCAGTGAGATCCCTGCACCCCAAAATGCACACTGATTTGCAATACAGTCTCAGACAGGGCTGGTGCTGCCCATCTGGAGACCTGGATCTCATTCCATGTCTCTCCAAGCTGTTGCGGGGCGTGAGCAGGTCTCTGTGCCTCAGTTTCCCCAACCTTTAAGAACCACAAGAGGCTGCGATGCTGCTGCCCCCATAAGAGGGGATAAAGAGATCCCGCCGTGCCTCTGAGCCTGCTGACACACAGCCCAAGGCACGCAGCCTCCCTGCAGCTCTCCAGGAGGAATTGCAGCCCCAAAAGCCTGGAGCTCTATAAATACACCCAAAGATAAGACAGACGCCGGCTGCCAGGCGGTGGTGACAGCCTGCTCTGCGGCCACACCACAGCCCTGCCTCTGCTCCTCACCAGCCACCACCTCCACTTGAGGCCCCAGCTGCAGGGTCCACATTCCTGTGGCAATGATGCTTCCCAGCCTTCCCTTTCTACCCCAACGGCTGTGGGAAGCAGGAGGCTGGAGTCGGGTTCCTCCTCCACTGCATCCAATGACTGTGCCCATGTCACCCGCAGGAGCAGACCCGGAGGAGACGATCCTGAATGCATTCAAGGTGTTCGATCCAGAGGGAAAAGGGCTGAAATCTGCCTAGTGAGTGCAGGGGTTGCCCAAGGGGAGGGCGGGTGTCCTCACTGAGGCCTCCCTGGGGCTCACCACACTCTCTTGGTTGCAGCATCAAAGAAACGCTGATGACACAGGGCGAGAGGTTTTCCCAGGAAGAGGTACGAGCTCCTTCCCTCCATCCCGACAGACCCCCAGCCACAAACCCCTCCTGTGCCACTCTTCCAAGCTGTCTCCTTCCCCACAGGTCGAGCAGATGTTCGCAGCCTTCCCTCCGGACATGTCTGGCAACCTGGATTACAAAAACCTCGTCCATGTCATTCCACACGGCGAAGAGAAGGACTAACTGGGCACTGCGAGATCGCCTCTCTGGCTCCCACATGTTCCATGGGGAGCGTGTGAATGGCATCCACATTAAACTGCCTTTTGGCAAGAAGAAATTCAGCCGCTGGTGTGAACAGTGCTTGGGCTTGTGTGGTGTGCCTGTGTGGTGTGTCTGTGCCTTTGGATCCCTCCCAGACCCGCACCCCACCGTTGCAGCCCCACTGCACATCACCCCCATGTGCCCTCAGTCCCTCTGCCTCCACATGTCCCAGCCTGGCCCATATCCCAGACCCAAACAGCCCGTTTGGGCTGTGGCAAGCAGCCATCTGGTCCCACCAGCCCAGCACCAGCACTGACCTCAGCTTTACTTTAGGCAGCAGAGAGCTGCCTGCTCCTTCCAGGTTAGGAGGGAACACCCAGCAAGCACATTGCTTGGGCAAGCATAGGGCAAGACTGGGACTGTGGTCCCCATCTCCTCCCTAGTAGCTACATAATGCCTGGCTGCAGGAAGGGTGCTAGGCTGTGCCATGGGGACAGCATCCCACCGGAGAGTAGTGGTCCCTTTACACAGCAGCTGTCAGCAGTGGGTGGAGCCATGCCAAATACCACCTTTTGAAGCCTGCAGAAGGCATTGGGCTCCTTCCAGAGGAGAAGGGAGATGGAATGATGTCCAGGAGGCAGAAGCAGAGGGGAACTCAAGATTAAAACTATTTATTCCATCCCTGGTGCAGTCTCATCCGTGCCAGCAGCGTTGTCCCAGTCCTTCTTGTGGTTCTGGAGAACCATCTGACGGAGCTGACCATGGTCCAGAGGCACCTCCACTGCCCAAGAAAACATCCACCCCATCACACACACCTTCTATACCTGCGGACAGGTATATATTCCTACTTCTATACCTGGTAGGGCGGGACAGGCTGGGTGGGATTAGCTGGGGAGCTGGGGAGGACGGGTGACAGTGGGACATAGGAATCATGGATTATCTGGCTGCATGGACGCAGCCCTTTCCTCCCACCTACAGCACTCACAGGCATCGATGGCGTTGTTGTTGGCGTTCAGGGTGGGAGGTGGTGGGCAGATCTGGGACCAGTTGATCTCCTGGAGGAGCTCAGGACTTCCCAGCAGTGGGTTGGTGAAGGGCAGGTCCGGAGAAGTGCCTTCAGTCAGGGTGTAGCGCAGGATGGACTCCAGCAGCAGGAGCTCATTGGCCTTCTTCTCCACAAGACCTGGGTGGGAAGAAACACCATCCTACAGGGCTTCTGTAGGCCCAAACCTACCACCAGATGTTTGCTGAGAAGGGGATCCATGGATTTCCCCATGGAAGTGCTGTCAGGCAGCTTGTCTCCCCAGGGACAAGGGTGGGTCCCACAACCAGAGATAAGATGAGGGCTGGGGGGGTCTACTGGGATCATAGAATCATAGAATCAACTAGGTTGGAAAAGACCTTTAAGATGAAGTCCAACCTTTACCCCAGCACTGACAAGACCACCACTAAACCACATTACTAAGGGCCTCATCTACATGGTTTGTGAGCACTTCCAAGGACGGTCAGGTTAGCTCCTGAATTTGATGGGAATTTGGCATCACAAAATCACATTAGAGACAGCCATCCATGATGGGGCAGGGGGGGAAACCAGCTCAATTAAAACACAGTGCAAGCAGGTGGTGGACATACAAGATCCAGGCCGTGTGGCATGAGAAGATGGGCAGCTCTAACTCACCAAAATACTGCATCAGGTTCGAATCCGTGATCTCCCCTTTTTCTCCAAGCTGCTTCATTATGGCCGTAGTGTCGCAGTCGAGTCTTTTGATCAGGATTTCCATGCTGGATTTGAGCTGGCCCAGGATTTTGCTTCTCTCTTTGCTCAGGTATTCGTAGAGGTTGGCTTCCTCAGTGGTTTCCGTTAGATTTTTCTATCAGCAAAGGTTTTGCAAGGTGTCACACCAGTTCCCTGCTCTCCCCCCAACCCCAGCCCCATCTACTCCCAGTCTGGACACCGGAGACTGCTCAGGAGAGGCTGTGGGATGCTCCCATCCCTTCAGGGGAAAGGCTCTGTGAAAGGGATCCTAAGCTCCCCATGCCAAAGACAAGGCTCAAGGGGGAGCAGGGTTGCCAGGAGCCCTCCAATCCCCCTCTCACCATGCACTGAGAGACAGGGCTGCCAAAGCCTATGCAGGGCCCTTTTCTGACATTAGCCAGAGTAGCATCGGCAGGAACAGACTCCCAAGTGGACGTGCCAAGACAGACCGGGATCTGCTGCCCTTGCAGAGGGAAATCCTGGCCACCATACCTCCACTTCCTTCACAAGATGAAAGTTCTTGGTCTCTGCATGCTTCCGAGCCTTCACCAGGGATGCAATTTCAATCTGTGTAAACACAAGCGCGCAAAGGGGATACTGCCTGAATGCCCACCAGATGTGCCTAACAGAGGCTGGGCACCACCCCTCCACCCTGGGAGCAGGGACATCCCACTTGAGCCCTCTGGGGATCACTGTCCCCAGTCCAGGAGGGCAGGTGATGTCCCTTCCTCTCACTCCAGCTATGGAGTGAGGCAAAGGCAGCTCTTGGCTTGCCGGCATGCTGCAGTGTTTTTGCTGGGTACACGGTGGCAGCATCGAGACACTTTTAGCTCCGAGAACACAGAGTTCCCTTTATCCGAGTTGTATTTTTAGCGATCTCTTTGCATTCCCCTAATCCCACCCCTGTGGCAGGCTGAGAGCAGGGCTCTGGTGCGGGCAGTGATAATGGACATATGAGAGAGGAAACACCCACTGCAGCCCAAACCCCACCAGCTGAGGGGCGACATGAAGAGCCTAGAACAGACCTGGAGTTCCTTGATCTTCCTCTGAATCTTCTGGATATCGTCATTGAGCTCAGAGGCATAGAGGAAGCAGGCGAAGATCTTATGCTCCTTCTCGACGAAGCTATTGAGCAGCTGGTCGACATTTCCATCCTCTGCCAGCTCCAGCAGGCGTTTGTAAGTCACCTCCCTGCTCTCAAAGCACTCCCCTCGGCTCTTCTTGGCCCTCTGGGCTGCTTTCAAGTCTGAGGGAGAGACAGAGATTGCAGGCTGTGTGTGTCCCTGCGAGGTGCCCTTTACAGAGCCTTCCCTTGCAGGTGCTGAGGGGTTCGGTGTGGTGCTCAGGGCAGGGTGGAGCAATGCCAGAGGGGGAGAAGGTGTCTTGATTTCCCACTGAAACTAAGCAGGGAAGTCACTGTCCTCACGGGAATGGGCCAAACACAGTGGGATCCCTCCCCAGGAGGATAAAAGGAGACATGGTTGCACACAGGGGCAGCCGCCCCACCCCTCCCTCTGCCCCAAGGGCACACACAGTGCTGGGTGGTTATCACTGTTCATCCTTTTCACTTGGAGGGTGAAAGTTGGGTGAAGGAGCCTTTGGAAAGGGGAGGGGTCCTGCCTTTGGGCTTCAGTGATATAAATCACTTTAAACAGCCCCCTTGCCAGCTCGGCAGGCTCCTGGTTGCCAGTCCCAGCTGCACATATTCTTTCTCCTCTGATACCGCTTTTCCTTTTGGCCTCTTCCTCCAGTTCAGAGCGATCCGTAAATCTGGCAAGCATGAAGGCTTTCCATTTGCTCTCCCGTGCAAGGATACGCTCCTGCTCCTGCATCTCCATGTGGTACTCGGCAGTGTCTGTCTTGTGCCTTTCCATCATGGCTGCAATCCTTGTCTGGGCCTCTGACCTGCACACAGAGAGCAGCAGCGGGTTACATCGTGTGTACCAGTCTCCCTGCGCTGATCAGACACCTAATCCTAGCACCCAGCTCTAGACAAGAGTGCTGAATCCTCTCTCTGAAGTTGAAATCTCTTTCTTTACGTCAACACTCATCACTGGCA